CACCCACCACCTTTTTTTTTAATCACAAATGTGTTTTCTCTTGCTAAAATTTAATATTGATGATTCTACAGATAGAAAATATTAATTTAGAAGTTATTATTTATTTATATTACTAAAAAGAACATGAACATTTATGGATATTCTGTCAGAATATTTTAAAATTAAATAATACGACATCTAACATCTATATACTATAAATCACTGACTTTTTTACATTCATATTTTCCCTCATATTCCTACTTGAATATAATTCATTTTACAAATATGTCTGATCCTGCCTCTGACCTTACTACACTTTAAGCTCTTTTCTGCTCATGGAAAGCTAATTTGCATTTTTAAAAAAATGTGGCTGTATTAATGATCTAATTTACCACAAAAAGGCTTTATAATAAATACAAAAAGGACAGCCATTAGCTTTCTTTCCACAATAAAATCAAAACAAAAAATAAACCATCTCATTTACACAACAATTAACAGGGATTTTTTTCCTAACACAATACTAAATGAATCTGTACAGTTCAGCATCCATAAACATTATATATTGTGGAGTATTCTTGCTCTACTATCAAAATAAGGAATATTATAAATATGCAAAGTTTTACAAAACACTTTTCTAAGAAAACTATACATCCATTTTAATACCTATATTAATAACCACACTGGTTAGATTTTTCTTTTACATAAATTATACAAACTACATTGGAATTACATACCATTTTAATACCAGTTTATTATAGCTTTATTTCATAATATCGGAGGTGGAAATGGAAACAGTGCCATCATGTGATACTTTTCAGGCTACTTCACTTTTTTTATTTCCAAGGACTGAGTCTGTTGCTGCTACACAAATAACAGTTCCTAGAAAAGCACGCAATGGTAGCATAATTTATTATATGCCATGCTGTAACTAGATCATTTTAGGTATTTTTATGCATTAAGTATTGAAAACACCTTTTAAATCTGCAAAGATAAATAAGAATATGATCAGTAAAAATATTACTTAGCTCATTTATTAAAAGTTCACAAATTATCCAACACAGTGTTGTGAAATTTCTTCCAGTTTACAGTCAAGATATTAATCCAAACAGATTAATTTTTACAAAGGAGCCCAGAAGTTAAATTCAGTGGTTTTAATTAGTACTGGGCAGACTACCTGGAAAAAAACCCTAATATGTGAAATCGTCACAGGCATACAATATCAAAGCCAAATCCAACTTGTATTATATTTACTTTACAAGATATTTTATTTTAATAAAATCAGACACACGGTTATTTTTTATTTTGTATCTATTTGATATTGAAATGAAGGCATTTTTCTCCCTAGTGGTCAGCATAAACTAGAAAATCCAGACTTGATGCTAAACACGTGTATTTCCACTTATCTCTTCTGTTTTCCAGAGTTCAAGACAACCATTTAACAACTGCTTGGAATCTAGAAATACAAGTAATCTATTAATCTGAAATCCCACTTTAATGCACAACTCACAGCTGCCAAATCTCAAACTACTTTGTAGTAGTGGGGGTTTTTAAAATATGTCTTTATACAAAATTAAACCCTTACAGTGAATTCATTGATGCTTGGGTGCAATTTGATAAAAAAATGCAGGAATTGTAACTTTTAAAATGAGCCCAGATGCTAGATATTGCTTATCAAGTTTCAGAATTTATAGAATAGGAACAACAACTGAATTCTCCAAGATTAAAACTCCATACAAAATTTAACTGCCTACAATTCCATAAGAAAACTGTTACTATTATGTGCTTATTTTTAAGCATATGGGCATGTACAGCCATGTAAAAACATTTAGATTTCTTTATGTAGGACTCAAAAATTCATGGTATATGCATGCAAGCCACCTATATGAGTTATGTTCAAGAGTGTTTTGAGTCTGGAACAAGCAGAGATTTTTATAAAAGTATGTTTCATATATTCAGAACTCCATTTATGGGTCAGCATTACAGCTGGTGAACATATCTGCTTTTGTTAAAGGGTAACAAAGCAAACCCCTCCGCCCTTGAGAACCTTCAGAGGGCAGGATACAAGACTGAAAACATGAAATATAAGAAAAATACTGCAGTAAGAAAATAATAGTGAGAAATAATGTTATGCTCTTACTTAAATCGAATATGTACTACTTATAGGTAACATTTTATAAATTGTTCAAACTAAACCAAATTGCATTTAGCAGGTTGGAAGGCAGGCCATTGGCAACTGCGTAAGTACTGAATTGTACACTTAGCACAGGAAAGCTCATTTTTTACGTTTGCAACCCAACAAGGAAGTTTTTGAGAAACAGACTAAAAAGTGAGAGAGCTTTTATTACTGCTATTGTTACTTATTCTTCAATTGCTTGATGTTTTCCTTAGTGCCAGCAATAACCAGCCTGTCTCCCCACCTGACATTTCCACCTTGACAGGCTGGATAGAAAACTAATTTGACTGTAATGTTACCAGCACGAGTGATACCTGGAACTCAGGGCAATCTGTACCAAGGTATTTAATACCTATAATAGGGGGTGATTCTAAATCTGTTTGGTTCTTGTTGGTAATTATCATCCTTGAGTGTGACAAAAACTTCTTTTTCCTATGGTTAGGGTTTAGACTTGGTCCCCCCCAAAAATCGGTAACTATTTCCCATCATCACGAAACACATAAAACCCACGTCAACATTTACTACATAGTTCTATTATGTTGGTTTTGAGCTGAATCATGAGTATTAACAATATGACCTTACAAAACACTGTCAGGATACTCACAGTGCTGTACAGAAACAAGACTATAAATCAGATAAAATCATAACACTAACTGGATTAAGCACTAACTACAGGAAATCATAATCTGGTGGGGCATTTGCTGGTTGATCAGCAAAGATATTTGAGAAATCTGTAAAAGGGAGGCAAAACTGTGGTCATTTTCATATCCCTTCCCAGTAACCTCTTCAACACCTATCAAAAGAGGAATTTGCTTGTTTTCTGTGTTCTGCTTTTCCTGTGATGCCAAAAACAGGTGCTCATTTAAGACAGATATATTAGGCTGCAGATGAATGCTTTGAACGTCAGTGGAGGAGAGTATTCTACATAAACATCTGCACAAGTATTTCTACAATTGTGAACTAAGGGAGAGGCTGCACTACCCTCTGGGTGAAAAGACAAAATTACATTTCTTATCTGTATTTTTATTTCTCTACTGCAGAAATTCAGTGTTCTATACAGAAGTCAAAACAGCAGAATGAACACCAAATATTTGAAGGGGAAGTTCTAATATCTCACATTCCCAATTAAGAAGATAGAAAATTTCAAAATTGTAAAAAATAGAGAAGTAATTTTTTTAATTTATTAGAGCTGAGATCTTTAGGTAAATGTATTGGGCGGGAATCAAATGGCAGACTTGTCGATGGCTAACCCAGAGGCTAGTACTTGTCTAACCATGTAGCACCCATCTATTTGAATAAGCCACAAAATCTGAAAGATTCCAAAACTACTGATTAAATTGCTGCAATACAGAATCACTGGACTTGGATGGATCAAAATTAATTGGGTCAAAATATATAATGTAGAACTTCTCAAGCAAATGATTAGACATTTTCTAAGGTTTTGAAAATTTTAGAAAGCACAGTTTTCACCAGGTTCTGCACACATGGTTATATCATCTCCTTAATTCATGAAGAGACTGGGAATAAAAAGATCTTCCCATACTTGTCAAGGCACACTTCAAGAACAAACAACTTTAGTTACTGTGCAAGGCTTTCTCAAATAGAAATATTGTTACTCACGTTAACTTTCCAACACAAACAAAATGTCAGATGAAATAAGATATACTGTCAGAAAAGAAAAATTAGCCATATGTGGTGGTTTAAAATTAGGTTCACTGATAGCTGCAGCACCATATTCCATCACCTGTGAGCCACAGGTGGTCTTATAAAGAGAGTTACATTGTAAGGTGATAATGGCTCCCATCATTCACTGACAGTTAGAAACTAGGTGTTTACTCAGCAGTTGTCATTGAAGTCATAGTAAGGAACAACTAAAGGTTCTTTTGTGTAGGGACAGCTGAAACAAGTCCCTAAGTGGGAGCAGCATGCATATGCCCATGCAGATCTCCAGTTACAGGTTACAAAGCAATGTATATAAGGGTCTGAGACATGGAAATGTCTCACTGAACAATGACGCTCAAAGCATCAGTCTCCATGAAACAGTCTTTCATAAGGAGCTCTAAAGTTCTACGGAGAGGAAAACAAGTAATAATTTAGTAATGACTCTACTGAGGTCAAAGAATACCTAAATGAATTCCTATTAACAAGCCAAGTAGAAAGTTGCACAGACTGTTAATTAGAAAATACCAAAAAGCTGTCATTATCAGAGTCAGTGTAAATGAAAATATTTTTGTATTTGATAATAGTCACAATCAAAAGGCAGAGATGGTCAACATATGGCTAAATATAACTGGACATATTTTTCTATCTGTAGACTGACAGACAAAAGGAAAATCCCTGGAGGATGAACTCAAGCTTCAAGACAGCTTAAGTATAGAGTTTGATGTGTGCGAAAGACACAGGAGGTCAAGTAATCCCCTTATGGTTAGAGAATATATAGTAAAAATTCTATTTGCTTGTAAAGTCTCTTTATTTCACTGGTCTTTCAGATAAAGTATTATGATTAAGTGACACATGGTCTTTAGTGGGATGCACTGGTTTCTGGAATGGTATTTACTACTAGAAACCTGATAGAAGAAAAAAGATTGAAATAAAGAAAAAGGTCTGAAACAAAAACCAAACAAAAAGGGTTTAATTGCTAAGTCACTCATTTTGGAGTGGAACATTCCTTCCACTCTTATCCTAAGACTGTTTTGCCCACTGAACTTATTTAAGGTCTGCAAAACCTGCCTCTCTGTTGAATAGATAGCTACTGCCAACTTTCTTCTATTTGGACTCTTCAACAGGAAGAGGGAAAACACTTTCTTTTTCAACTCCCTTATGCTACCTGCAGGGTTTCCGTGGGGGTTCTAATAATACTTAATTGGAAAGAACACACAAAAGTACATTCTGTCTCTGAAGAAGCCTCTGATGCTGGGTCTCCATACTTAGTTACTCATTGCCACCTGAGGCAAGATTCTTAGGAAATTAATACAACGCTCAGAAGCAAGGAGAAGCTCCAGGTAAGTTTAAGTTGTCATTGGTTGTTTGTTTTTTTTAAAGCAGAAACAACCACAACAAATGCAGTTTCTCTGAAAAGCGAACAAGTGTTTTCAGCTCAACACAGGAACAACACAAACACAACATGAAACAGTTCCATGATGCTATTTTCAACTTCATTTAACAGAAATAAATCAGGCTGAAAAATATGGAAATTCCTACAGACAAATCAAACTACCAGAAATTGTATCTCTTCAGCCTGTGAATATACAAGTAGAATTAGGTTTTAAGACATGAACACCAGCACCGGTTCAAGATGATACAGGTGATATTTTCCACTGTCAATCAACATTAAATCAATTCCCAGTTTTGCTTTCAAAGAAGCACACTTGGAATTTGGCTGCTTGCAGTATTTCAGATGAGCCATAAAACAGAATTCCTGAACACTTGTGCTTACAGATCACATTGCACTTCACAGCTGTTGTGTTTTACCCCAGCAGAGGGTGCATTTAAGCAAGTGGAAAAAAGCAATTTTCTTTTAAACATAGCTTAAAGTGCTTAGGGGTCTTTTTGAATGAAATGTAATGCATACATATATTATATTTTAAATATATTAAATAATTCATAACAAGTAATTATTAGGCCTACCTGCAATGTTTATCTCATTTTCTTCTAGTTCCTCATGTGCCACATTGAACAACAGCATAATGCTGCAACTAGCTAGATGGAGCAGTGAAGTCTGAGGAGTAGACCTAAATTTCACAACATTGTGATAAATACGAGGTCAGTAAATCTGTATGAAGGAATTGCTACTATGATTACTTTTTAAAAAGGAAAATTTTGATTAATCTTCTACATTAGAAGAATGCTGAGATTGCAAAAGCAAAGCATTTAAAAAACAGAACATGCCTGAAGTAAAGCTCTTCATATGGCATTATTTCAACCTCCTCTGCGTGACCTTTCCTCCATTCTTTGTTATTGTGTGCCACATTATTTGTTTCCCCAGGACCTACGTTTCATCACTGCATTGGATAGACTAGTTTTGAAAATGAACTGGGTAATTTTAAAGACTTGTATTTAGTATTACTTAGTGCAGAGACTGTTGTCTCTGTCCTGTGTTCCCTTTGTTGCTGAAATTGTAAGGGATATGTCCAAAATATGCACAGTTTTGGAACTGGAGGAACTTTTTAGGGAAGCATAATGCCATTTCAAAAATGGATTTCTGCCACAAATAACTTTTCACCAAGCTCCATAAAATGAAAAAATATTAACAAATTACCATTCAATACAAATTCTTCCTTTTCAAGATTGTCATACACTTCTACCATTATGGTAGTTAGATGTAAATAAACGCAAAACTTTCTTTCTTAGAAGTTCATGCATATTCTCTTTTGCATGTATGTTCTCCAGTGAAGTGTCACGAAGTAACCTATTTTCATAAATATTTTAGTCCTGTGGCCAATGAAAGTCAAAATTCAGAAAAGAAATAGTCCACAATTATCTTCCTACTAATTTTTCTTTCTCTTAAGTGAAAAAAACCCCTCACCTTTTCATGATTTAATGTTAGAATAAAAAAAAGACAGCTGTCATTCTTTATAAAACACAAACTAAACTGTATTTGAAGGAGCAGGGATTCCAACCAAATTGCACAGGATTAATTAAATGAAGAATTTTCAAAGAAAACAATAACATGTGGCTAGTAGTTCTACTTGGATTGGACAATGGCAATTGGACATGGAATGAATAAAGAAATAAATTAGTATGGGTGGAAGCAAAATAAGAACAAACCCAGGTAGTTCTGTAAGCACATCATTGGGCATTCTTAATGCTTCTTCCTCAGCAGATGCACTATTTTGCATTTTCCTGTTATATAGTCCACCTGTTTTCATGGATATAAGCATCTTTGAGGCCTCTACTTCTCAATCAAATTTGTTTGAAGTTGGTCAACAGGTTCAAGATTTATTGTGGGGGACTGACAGATAGTATGATTGCATAAACTTACAGAAGTTCTGCTTCCTTACAAAAGTATGATAAAAATAGCATATCTAGGCTATGTTAGCCTAGGAAATAGACAATTCCACAGCAGGGCACTTTCTGCAGGGAAGGCCAAGCCAGGAAGACCACAGGAATACAGTGTTCAGGTCGAGCAGTAAGAATTCTCAAACTGCCATAACACAAAAAAAAGGAGAGCAGATAAAAATACGGCCAGTACTACACCAATTATTAAAAATAAGATTAATCAATTAGAATATTTTAACTAGCATGCTAAAAGAAAAAAGAAATGTAATATTTTAATACATCATAATTATCTGTTGTTAGCAACTTTTGATTAATTCTGTTAGAAAATCTCAGATAGGTCTTAACATAAAGAAGAGCTTGCTTCTTTGAATTCAAACTACAGCATGGTATTGGTTAGGTAACAGAACATGACAGATCAAATTAATTTAACTGCAATACTTCAGATACAGTTTTATCAAGGATTAATATAGCACAAGACTTCCAATTGTTATGACCATGTTGTCATCAGTTTAGGTGCAGTAACTCCCCTTTTAGTAGTTCAGTCATGCTTTGAATACTCCAGTGCACTTATCTCACCTCTTATTGATTCACCAGAAGAAAAGCTGCTTGTAAAGAATGGCATGGTCTTGTTACAGGACAACTTATATAATATAATATCTTCATTTTGTTTCATTCATTGTATTGTTTAGTATGAAATCAAGATTAGGTCATAGAAGACAACTGCCATGGAGGAGCTGCCACTCTGAAATATCTTATATAGCATTACTGTCAGATGTACCCTAAGTATCAGGCTTATAAGGGTGACCAGCACTCATTCATGCATTTGGTTAATCTTGTCGCACATACAGTTGGTCTCTTGACTTAATATAATGCATTCAACACATTCACAAGTATAGAATTGTTTTTTCCCCTTAAGTCAGTGCCTCTGGTAAATAAGTAGCAGAAGCTGTCTCCATTTGGTGCACTTATTGGTAAGAAGACTGCTGAGGAACTCATTCATTCATACTGGACTATTGTAATGTATAAGCTAGTTACGTCACCTAACTTTCTCTCTTACTCTTCTGCACTAGACATGAAATTCATATCCACCTTATTTGCTTAATGAATGGGTTTCTCCTAATATAAAAGTTACAGATACAAGAATTTGCACAATCCTCAGTGGCATCACAAAAGAGATGTACAGCTTTGCTAATTTAAGTAACTTTTTAAGTCTAAAGCAACTGAACTTAAATATGTAGTAGAATTAAACTGTATGAGAAGCAGTACAACATCATTATAAAAGATAGGAAATACATTAGTAACATGAGGAATGGTGAAACCGTGAATTAAATTTCACAGTTGCTACACATGTTCAAGTAAGTAAACACAGTTTTCACAAAAGATTTTTCAACTGGAAATCAGAAAAAATAAGGTGGAAAAAAAAGAAACAGCTAAAGAAATCTCTAACACTGAATTTCAACAGTTTAATTTCTTTTTGTTTAAATGCTCATTTACAGATAAAATTTGGAATGAGATCACATTCATCAAACTGTCCACTTAATGTAACAATATTGCATCTCACTGACAAATCAGACATCAATTAGAAGCTGTAAAATTTAATTAAACATATCCTAATCACAGCTACCACTGTAATGTGACCCACACCTATGCATGCATTTCACGTATCACTACATGACAGCACCACACTTCCTTCCATTTTTCCTGCTACCATCTTGAGGACTTAAAATGAAGGTTTTCAGAGACAGAACCAAATGGAAATAAGAGGGGGGGGGGAGAAAGAAGTTGCTGAAGCAGAAAGACAGAGATAAATACACAATATCTGTAATACAGGCATACAGGAGTTCAAGACATAGGTATATATGTTCAAAAATAAAACAAGTAAAACGCAAATGCTGAACTATGTGACTATATTTTCACCTTCATGTCTAGCAACTACACAAAGAAGGAAAGCTTTGCTTTCATGCTTTATGACCTCCTAAGAAGCTTCTCGATGGCATTACAGCTGCCTTGTATTTACTGTAACTGTATTATATTATTATATATGTTATTAATATGAATTAATATGAATAATATGTACCAAACCCACAGAAGAATATTAATAATTTGAGGCATCATTGCCTGCTGCTCTAGAACTCTTACACTTTAATTAGTATATATATTTTTATATATATTTCCAATAAAATGGAATAAAAGTAGTCTAATCATCAACATCACTAAAAATGTCACAGGACACAAAGTTCAGCATAGATTTTACTCATGGTCTTCACAGAACTTTAGAATATGGCTTCCTGAATTAATTCACAAATGACAGAAGACAAGTATTACATACTTATTCACCAGACTTCTTCCAGCCTTGTGTCTTTCTTCCTTCCATTGTGACACCATTAACAAGTTCCATTCTGTCCTTTGTGGTTCCTGAACCTCTCTTTTGCTGTGTCCCTGTCCTGAACAAAATCTTTTCTATTAGAGAGCTAATAGTTATTCACCTTTCTCTGCTACACACACATATGATTCCTTTTATACTTCAGAATTATTCATTCCCATGTACATGTTCCCCTCACTGCTACTTTTTCCCCTCTTCCTTGGGATCAGAACCAACACTAAAAGATCAAGATGGTTGAGAGACCACACCTAATTACTCAGCATCACTGTCTAGCTACATAAAATACTTTTTTTAACTTTTATTTGTCAATAATTACGACTTAGGCCTATTACCACCACTGGAGTCATCATTCTATATGTTAATAGCTTCTTACAACACTATTTTACCTACGTCCTAATCAAAAACAACATAACACATTATCACATCAAATCAAATACTGAATACTCATTCCATCCTAGAAAGCTGTCATTAATCTAGTTGATTAACAGTAGAAAAAATATTGTAAGATTTGAATGGCAATAAAATGTAAATATTTTCCCATCCCTGAAAGTGTTCAAGGCCAGGTTGGATGGGGCTTTGAGCATCCTGGTCTAGTGGAAGGTGTCCCTGCCCATGGCAGGGGTGTTGGAACTGAATGATCTTTAAGGTCTCTTCTGTCACAAACAGTTCTATGATTCTGTGATTCTGCATCACTTTAAAAAAATCAACCTCAGTAGAATAAGGTATAAAATATCAAACATCAGACTAGCTTCATCTGTTCTGCAGGCATTTCTGCTACGCTTCTACTAAGGCAGAAAGTTAGATAGAAGAGAGACTTTCTCAAAACCAGAGGAAAGCCGCATTAAACTCAAGCTTAGTTTTTCATATCCCTTTAAAAGACCTAGACTGAGGCTTAGGTACACTGCAGCCACTACTGCAACTACATTTTCCATATACTTACTGGAGCTAATGTGAAACTAGCCAGTCCAAGCACTATGAGCCATCTAGACATAGCTCTGCTGAACTCAGCACAGGCTGCAAAACCTGCCTGAGAACCAGAATAAATATGCAATTACTTAACTCTCTCTGTACCTCCTGTCCCACAGATTTAGACTCGGCAGGAATCCCAGATGACTATAAAGGAGAAAGTGACTGCCATTGAATGACACCCCTGAGTGCTCTTGGAATAAATCCAATATTGAGTGTCAAGCACAGAAGAAAAGCAGGAAACAATGTTGCTTTTATAGTGAAACCAGATAATTTAAAGATAAATAGAGAAACTAGACCCTAACATAACTATCATATACTAAAATCCAATCAAAAGTTAATAAATTTTGGAAAAGCAATTTTAGTATTTGACATTATTATTTTAGTTACTTTTTATATATATATTCACATAGTTACCCAACTCTTATTAAAAAATGTTTTATTTACAGGAAGGTGTCTCCAAGATCTGACTATTTACAATATCTTCTCCATTTTATATGTTTCCAAATAAAAATTATTGACACTTCGGGACAGAAATACATGCTCCAAAATATTAAATGAACTTTTTATATCAGATGGTTGCAACAGATTGACACTCAAAACTCTTACCTGAAAGAGACACTGTACCTCACAATGCTATTTTAATAAATCAGGTTCTAAAATACTAATTACAAGAACTGATTAAGCACTACATCTTAAAAGAAAAATATTCTGCAACCTCCCACATGCACACTTTCAAAGCTGTGGAACAGGAACTGAGAATTGGTGTGCAGCCTCAGATTTGGAACTTCAGAAGATTATGTATCAGATTCAAATAACTAGGAATTCCAGACGGCAATTCTTGTTTACATGGATCACAAAATCCATAATCTCAGAATTTCTGTAGCTTATCCATCATGTACAGTTTATTTTAATTGCCAGAATTTTGAGCTTGCTTTGTTTGTTTGTTCCATTTTATTGAATAAAGAGGTTGGGAGAGGGAGAAAGGGAAGGCGGGGAGAAAGAGAGAGAAAATTATTATCTTGAATATTTTTATCTAATTGTTTGATGAACAATTCCATAAAGTACTTCAATAAATCTGCATTTCCTAGTGGATGAGTTCAACATCCCATACACAAGAATCAAAAATCAGCAGTAATGGCTAGAAGATTTTGATAATATGACAGTCCCTTCTGCTTTCTGTTGCAGTTGGATAAGCAGTGTAATAATAAAGGCTGTCACTCTTTAGGGGGTTTCTGTACACAAGAAGTTCAAAGCTGACTCATAGCTCCATAGTCCCCTTCTATGGGTTAAGATACACAGTATACCAGTACCTGTAGACTCTGCCACTGACAATACAAGGCAGACAGACAACATTTTTCTTAAAAAGTGCTCTACAGCTACTCAGGTGATCACAATAAACATGAAAAGAAGATAACAAGTAACTCTGAAATAATATCTCTGGTATGAAAAGAATGAAGGATGCCAAGTTTCAGAGATATTGCTTAAGGCTTTCTGCAAAATTAGGATACATTTTCAGGACATGAAAGTATATCAAATAGTGAGTTAATTCAGTTGTAGAGATACCCATAAAACATAGTAACATGCATTTCAGCAGGTAAGCACACTCACTGTCACCCATGAGCTTACAGGGCCCTAGTTAGGATTGTTTTATACTTACTACACACTTCCTGCTTTCCAAAACAGTGAGATTAAAGCTACCTCTAGCAGGTTACACAAACTATGTCTGTTCTCCTAAGTACAAAACAATTTAGAGCAGACAAGATTGCACAGTCATATTTCCATGATCATAATTTCCAGAGCATGGTTTTTGGTTTTCTGGGGTTTGGTTTGGTGGGATTCTTTTAGGTTTTTTACTTTAGGTTTTGGGGGCTTTTTCTGGGTTCATTGCTTGGGGGGTTTTGTTTGTTTTGTTTTTTTTCAGGGGATGTTGCTTATTGTTAGTTGGTTTGGTTTTTGAAAGGAAGAACACTACAGAATCACAGAATATGCTGAGTTGGAAGGGACCCACAAGGATCACTAAGTCCACCTCCTGGCCCTGCACAGGACCATCCCCAAGAGTCACACCATGTGCCCAACAGTCTTGCCCAAATGCTTCTTGAACTCTTTCAGGCTTGGTGCTGTGATCACTTCCTTGGGGAGCCTGTTACAATGCCCAACCACGCTCTGGGTGAAGAACCTTTTTCTAATATCCAACCTAAACCTCCCCTGACACGACTTCAGGGCATTCCCTCAGGTTGTGTCACTGGGCACCACAGAGAAGAGATCAGTGCCTGCCCCTCCTCTTCCCCTCAAGAAGAAATGTAGACCGTGATGAGGTCTCCCCTCGACCTCCTCTTCTCCAGGTTGAATAGCCCAAGTGACCTCAGCCACTCTTCATATGGCTTCCCCTTAAGGCCTTTCACCATCTTCGTTGGCCTCCTGTGGATGCTCTCGAAGAGCTTAATATCTTTCCTATATTGTGGTGCCCAAAACTGCACACAACATTCAAGGTGAGGCCTCACCAGTGCAGAGCAGAGCAGGTCAATCCCCTCCGCCGACTGGCTGGCAATGCTTTGCCTGATGCTGCCCTCCACAGTTGGCCCTCCTGGCTGCCAGGGCACTGCTGACTCATGTTCAACTTGCCATCGAGCAGGACCCCAGGTCCCTTTCTGTGGCACTGCTTTCCAGCCTCTCATTCCCCAGTCTATACATATCTCCAAGGGTTGCCCCATCCCAGGTGCAGAATCTGGCACTTTCCCTTGTTGAACTTCATATGGTTGGTGATTGCCAGTCCTCTAATTTGTTGAGGTCACTCTGCAGGGCCTCCCTGCCTTCAAGAGAGTCAACAGATAACCAAGACTTTCCTCTCATGAAGCTGTGCTAGCTGTGACCAATAACTGCATTGTCCTTCAGGTGCTTTTCAATACCTCCCAGAACAATCTTCTCCATAACTTTACCAGGCACTGAAGTGAGACTGACAGGCCTGTAGTTTCCAGGGTCCTCCTTCTTGCTTTTCTTGAAAATCAGGACAACATTCGCCAGCTTCCAGTCAGCTGGATTCCCAAGACTGCTCAAAAATCATCAAGAGAGGTTTTGCAATGACATCAGCCAGCTCTTCAAGGATTCTGGGATGAATCCCGTCACGGCCCATAGATTTGTAGGGATCCAGCTTGAACAGTAGATCCCACACAGTTTCAGGGTTGACTGGAAGTTGATCATTCTCGCAGTCATGATCTCCCAGCTCAGGACACTCTTGGTCTGTCATACGCGTTGAAGAGAGAGGCAAAGAAAGTGTTAAAATACCTCTACCTGTCTCTGTCCCCATTTGTGAGATGACCATCCTCATCCTGGAACAGGTCAATGATATTTCTATAATGCCTATTGCCATTAATGTATTTAAAAACTTCTTTATTGTCCCCCACATTTCTGACCAGCTTCAACTCCAGCTGAGCTTTGGCTGCATGAATTTGCTCCCTACAGCACAAGCAGCATCTCTGTATTCTTCCCATGTCACTTGACCTTGCTTCCACTGGGCATACACCTTCCTTTTTTTGCCTTAATTCCAAGAGAAGATCCTGCTCAGCCAAGGCCAATCTTCTGCCTCACCTGCTTGACTTCTGACATTTGGGAATTGCCTGCTCCTGTGCCCTTAGGAGTTGATGTTTGAAAAGTGACCAGCACTTAGTTCCTGAAAGAATAATTTGTCAGCGTCATCATCCTGTCTAGGAGGTCTATAGCAGTCTCCCACGATGACACCTGCATTATTTGTTTGCCCCTTGATTCTTATCCAGAGGCTCTCAACTGTGCCATTGCCAACTGTGAGCTCCATACATTCTAATCTTTCTGTTACATACAGTGCCACCCCTCTGCCTCTTCTGCCCTGCCTATCCCTCCTGAAGAGCCTGTAACCATCCAACCATCCAACAGGGCACTCCAGTTACAGGTCTCATCCCACCAGGTTTCACTTATGCCAATGATGTTAAAGCTCTGGGACAGGGCGAAAGCTTCAAGCTCCTCTTGTGAGGACTTACATGAAAACTTACTTATAGATTAGTCCCATCATGCCATCCACCTGCAATTCCAGCTAAGTATAATAAACAAATGCTTTGAACTATACTGGATTATTAATATTTTTTTTTAATTTATGTATTACATTTCCTCAAAGATAACAGCATACAAATACTTGCACAAAAAGGAGTGACAAATTCAAAACATGAAGTTCACCATGCCAGTACACCATGTGTACTTTAGACAATATTTTCCAGGTGCAATGAAGTAAAAATTACAGGGAAAGTCACAGATCTAAGGTTATGGATTTTCTGAAAACAGTTTTTAACCAAAGAGAAAACAAGGGATGAACAAGCTAACAAATATGGATGCTATTTGGAGAGGACCAATGGGTCCAGAGTATGTTATCCTTTCTTGCAAAGAAGCAAAAACTTATCAGATTTAATTGCAAAGTTTACTTACTGTGCAAGCTTTCCTACATCTCTTATTGTAGAACACACGAACTACAGTTGTCAATAAATGTAAATGATTGTTCTGTAGGGGAAACAACCAAGACTTCTTACTTCATGAGTTTTGAAAGTGTACAACTACCTTCTCTGTATAAAGTTGGCTCCGTTAACTCACTTTTTATGTGAGTTTTTATGTTTCTGGATACAAATTATAATGATTTCACTCTGTCTGTCCTGAGTTTTATTTCTAAGGGAATTTTAGGGCTCCCAAGATTCTTTTCCCCTTGAAATGGGAAGGAATGGCATTCTGAATTCTTTTTAATCAGAGGCCTTCCTTGTCCTTTACTCTAATTATGCAAATCACATATTGCAAACTCCATTACTTGATGTTTCAAATGGCTAGAAAAATAGATATTAATCTGTAATATTCCAGATTATTGATTATGATATTGCAATTTGTGAAAATAAATATATCTAGTTTCCTTAACTCTATTTTTCAGCTCAAAATAGCATCATATAGAATAAACTTGCAATCATATTTGGCAGATGTTTCCGCATACTGTGTCCTTCGAAAGTAGACCTTTTCAATGCATTTCTTACTGTTTCTTTTAGTTCATAACAGGACCAAACGAAATATTACAAATCATACCATTTTTGCCCCTATGAAAAGTCTAGGAGACCTTTTGAGTTCCAGTATCTAGAAAGGGACAGGATGGACTCAGAGCATAAGTGCACTGGCCTTTTTCTCCTGTTTTTGCTTTCCTGTATCTATGGGATGACAGAACAAAGATACTTGTGCTTTAGGAACCTTGTCAGCATCTGTGTTTCACTGCAGAACCTCTCAGGAAGACTATCTGAAAAGAACGAGCTCACTTTCCCTACTCATACTCATTCAATCTCTTCATAAAAGTACTATGAAA